ATTTATTTATTGTTAGATTATGTAAAATTTGTCTCGGTTATGGATCTCGGCTTAAGTAGAAGATGGTCCAGTTAACATAAACATAGATCAATTATTCATCTCGCGTGCTGATTTTGTTGCTATGTTTTCACCTTACTTGCAAACTAATTTGTGATTAAGTAAATGATTCAATATTAATAACAAATATATAGTTGTCCAATAACTGTTATTAAGTAGGTTTCCAATACATTCTTTACATTTTTCAAATTTGGTCACTGGCTGGTAATTGAAGCACTTTTAAATGGTTTACTCAATGCATCCAGATCATCAATGCATTCAGGTCATCTGTAGACGTTTACTCGTAAATGTGCTTGTAGTGGATTCTCAACTTCCGAGCGCATAGTCAGTCATCCCTGCTTATAGAGGCTGGACTTCACCTTGAAATTAGCTCTGTGGATGATCCTCAGACTAACTAAGCACAACTCCTTGTTAATTACTATACAGTACCTATATTTAATAATTTATTATCTTACTAGGCCTTGTAAACTGTACCTTTAGTATTGTGTTTTCAATCTTTTTATGTTGGTTGATTATTCAAGACAAACTATTCATACAGAAAGACCACAAGATACGATCCATTCAAGTACAATCGTCAATCTTTGGGATGGTAATTGAAAAGTAAATTCTCTATTCACAATCTGTCCACAAGCATACTCATAAACCACAGTTGTTATATAATATACCAAATTTAAAATTTCACATTATTCACCTCTGGCCGGCGGCATTGACTATCGAACGGTTCCACATCAACCTAGACCGATATTACTGTAATACCCTCAGTTAGACGTGCGCTTCGCACATTGACATGTAACCTATCCCGTGTTATTTACAGGCGCGTAGGCGGCGCATAGTCACGATCGGTAATGTGTACGTATAATAAACACCCACATATCCATTACTCGCTTGGCGTTAAATATTTTACAACCTGTTAGACAATGTTATGTAGGTAACCCTTTACGTTTCATTCCCGACTAATAGAAGATTGCTGCGCTAAGTGGCCTTATTGAGATATTATAATGGTCTGATCGGCTAAGTGCGTAATAAATCTGAGGTACTTGGGATTTGTTTAGTCAAGTGTTTCCGTTGTAGGTGATGAGCGCGAGGAGATACTGGATGTCCCACCTAGGCATGACTGTGTCCAAGAATATCTTTCGCCTAAGAGACCATCATTTGTAGATAGGTCCTTTAGCCTGCGGGTAATTCTGAACCACCGTTCAAGACGACAGTATCACATAAAAATCATGACAATATGTGGGTTTAGAACCCACCATTGCATTATAGAACATACCATGCATTGTAGAGCATTTAAGTGATGTGATTCAACCGCTAGACACCAGTTTTTAACTATTACTAGTATGTACGTGTATACTATAGCTTAGCTTTTAGCTGTGTGTTTGTTGAATAAAATGAGGTCTTATTAATTTTCACATGGTCCATCCGTGTCCACCAATTAAATGATATATTGACAAACGACTGATTGTCCTCTTGTATTGTGACCAAAAAGAAAATAATCACTAAAAGCATACACAAAAACAAGGGAAAGACCTTTTGTTGACATAAACCGCAATTTGAAATTTCGTCGATCGAATCCACAATTGAATCAGAAACATCAAAACAAGTCTCAGGATAGAGGTTTGATTGCAATCACAATAAATATAGTGTATTTATAGTGGTTAGTGTCTCGGGCTTTGGTGCCAGAGAGACTGGTTCGATGCCAGGCATATTCACTAAGATTGTTATGGGTCAAACCGCAATCACTTAACAGCATTTGTGATTTCTTTATAGAACATACCAAAATACCATTCGCATATACACTACGTGTCATCGATATTTTCCTATGTAGGAACCATTCGCTACTCCAATAGTACAATAGTTCAGGACTAGCTTACCATTTAGGCCACACACGACTATGTAAACCAAGAAGTAAAGCCGTGGTTAACCTCACTTAGCTGACGTTTCAATTTCAATCGTGCAAACCGCAAGAGCAAATCCACATGACGACATTTGAAAACTAGTAGTTACGGACTAGTTAGTCCCATAATCTAACTATATCTCTATAGTAGTAACTCTCTAACTACCACAACAAGTAGATTCAACAATACGTGAATGGCTCGTTTACAATCATGTGCAGACTGACCTGTCGTTGAGGACCGTTGCATCACACGGCAATCACGGAGATGGACTGAGCCCGCGGCTGCAGCATTAGATGGAAATTGAATGCTAAAGTCTGCGGTCATCCTTACCCGGGTCAAGGTCAGAGACAAAGGTTGTCATTGCGGACTGCTTGTCAAGGATCATGTTGGGAATGACAGCAAAGTGCACCGGAGTGATGGAGGAGGTTGTAGAGCTTGCGACAAAGATGATAGGTAGCAATCTTAAAAAGTTTGAACTGTAGTTTCTGCAAGTAAACTTCTCATCCCATTATAAAATCTAAAGGTTACTTTGTTCCATCATTTTCAAACCACTTGAACTATTTTATACCGACTAAATGTTCATCTCTTACTACAGAGGACCATGATAAATTTACAGTGTGTGCTTAAATGTTTGCGTATACCTAATTCCTGAAGAAGTTTCTGAAGTCACCAAGGTGTAAATTTCTTCCATCCTCAACTTTATAAATGAAGCTCACCGTCTCGCACTTGATTAAAACGATTTCCTTCCATCATTAAGTTCAATTTGAAGTCTTAACATTTTCCCAAAATCTATTTTTTTTCTCAATCCAGTCATTGCACCCTTTCTTCATCTATCTTGAAATTTTGTTTTTCCAATATTTTGATGTCACATAAAGGTTCCAGTCACTGTCTAATATCCTGATAATTATATTAAACACTCTGCGTATTGCATGTGGATGTATGAGCAAACTCAGAAATATAAGTGTTATTGTAATCAAGAATTGTAAAAATCGCATCTACTCTCCTCTATGGAACCTGTTCCAAGCTGCATTACAGATGGAGTGGCCGCACTAAGCACCGCATGGATTGCTCCATATCCGCGCCTGGACGTCCATCACTGCAGGACTACATAAAGCTGTCGTCTGTCGCTCACGCCGCTGGACCACTGCCCGACATGTCGCTGTGATTTACTGTGTCGGGCTACAGCGCAGCGCCCCGTGGTTACAGCGTTTCAGCGTTATAGCGCAGTAGTTAATGTTTTTGTTTTATAACTTTTCTACCGAGTAAGTGTCCAGGTGCACATGTAAATCTAGGATATTTTGTGCCTGATTTGAATAATTTATCGCTGCTTTGAATGAGTGTGGGTTAGGGCTTGAGTTTCTGTAAGTCATTGGCTTGCTAACATACAACTTGTACGTTTGTAATATTAAAACGTCCTCGTGTTTTTTTTCTTACTGAAATTTAAATAGATAGGATGCTAGGCTGTTGAATGCGACTGGCGACCTCGACGCAAAATGTCTAGATTCTAGAATGCAAACAGCATTACCTGCAGGATGACATTGTTTAAAGATGTATTATTTCCAATTATATTTCAATTTAGTTACACTTTTTTATTCTACCTTCATTATAATTAGTTAAAAATCAAGCCTGCACTGTTAATTGGATAGCGAAAAATATCAAGCAAATTTAGAAAACCCCAAAATGGATGAGAATGTGAATTTGACTTACATAGCACTACATGATTATGCTATTTTATCCATTGTCCCTATCACCTAAGAAACAAATATATCTAAATACCATTTGTCAAAAACAGTTGTATTCCTGTTATTAGGTTCTGTTTGATACACAACCTTGTTATAGCTTGATCATAGGGTTTGTTGACAAAGCAACAGTTAAAAAGGTCCAAGCGTTAAATACATTCACAAATAAAACTATCCATTTGTTTGTTAGGTATATTAAACAATACAATAAAGTACCTATATTACTTTAATCTCAATTTCAGGACTGTCATCAGATTGCCAAAAATCTAACGTAGAATTATTATTCGAAAACCAGAAAAGAATTATGCTTAGCGATGTATAATATATAGATGGATAAAACTTTTTATTTCCGGAGGGATCAAAGGAAAACTTGAAAATGAATTAAATACACTTACTAAGACCACCAAATTATTTTTTTATAAACGATTTCCAAGTCGGTAACAATGTTTACTTTATAGACCTGACGATGATAAGGAGACAGTAAGTTGGATATTGTAATCCATTTGAAGCCCACGCATATAATTTGAAACTGACACAAAGGTCAAATATAAATCCGTCCATCCAACCAACCACCCGTAGAGGATCGCAAATTAATTCAAGAAATGGGAAGTTTCTTGATGAAGAATAAAGACCTATAACTCCGTGGATTTGAATTTCTTCCATAACTTTTCACCAACAATACAATATTGAAAGTTGATCAACCTGAGATATTAAAATCTATTATAATAATTATCTACGGCCTTTCAAATTCTTCAAACAATTTCACTACCTTTAACCTGGATGGCCTAGTAATTTGTTAAGCAAAGAGAATAAAACAAACATTGCAAGTTAAACCTATATATAGGGTTATGAGAAGAAGAAAAGAAAATAATCAGATATCGAAGACTTGACGCTTCGTGTTGAATATAGAAGTAGATCTTACCACTCTTAGGCTACTATAAAAAATCATTAAGATAAAGAAATATTTACTGAATTACAAATCATAATTTCATAAAGGTACGAATACTTGGTCAAAATCTGACACAGATATGTAAATCTTGTAAGATATTATCCAACTAGAAAACATGAATAATCTACAAGCCAAATCTAGACTATAAGACATACTACGTTGTATGTACAAGGTCCGTTTGACTGACAGGTACATAGCAGCTGAAAATAAACAGGTACAAGACTTTAATGTAATAAAGATATAAATACACTGGTGGTCAGTTCTACAAGCAGCCACTAGGAGCAGCACTGACTGTGGTCCACAGGAGAAACGCTGCAGCATCCAGTCTCTGAGATCAGTACGGCTCCGGCTCCTCGACGGGACGGAACATTCCGCTTGTGCTTCTATAGATGGACAAACGTATTTACGTGATTCCAGTTCATTGATAGACTGTATGTGAGTTTCTGCAGTGGTCGGGTTTATTGGTAATAATTACAACTTTAGGGAAATATAGTTAGTTTTGGACGTTTTTCGTGGATCTTATATTATCTATCAGTGCGAAGTGATTTTAGACAGTGATTGATAAGGATTTTTTACGGCTCATTTGGTGTCATATCCAGGTGACAATGGAGATGGAACTTATGATAGACGCTAACAACAACTCTTCAGAAAAGAGCTACTCTCTAAGACCTCGCGCGGCCCCGAAGAAGGATGACGAAGATTCCGAAGACGAAACTTCTCGACCAAACGCCAGGAAGAAGAAAAAATCCAAACAGAAACCGGGACGTCTTAGCAAATACAGGAGAAAAACTGCTAACGCGAGGGAAAGATCGAGAATGAGAGAAATAAACGAAGCCTTCGAAGCGCTCAGGAGAGCTATTCCTCACTTGACTCCGAATCCCGATAACGGAGAGAAGTTGACGAAGATATCAACTTTGAGACTCGCCATGAAGTATATCACAGCGTTGAACAACGCGTTGAACGATTCTCCTGGAGAGTCTGATGGGGAATCGTTCTTCAGCGATTACAGCTTGACTCCTTCAGAGCCACGGGAACACTCGATGACTCCCTCGTCAATCAGCGACCATTCAGACTTCTACGACCAATTCTTCCAGAAGAGTCTCTCAGAGAATATTTCTCCTTGTGAGCCGACTGTTCTCAACACTGCGGAACTCACTTTTCCTGTTCGTGAATGTGATAATTTAAGGAACTCTGACAACACGCTCAGAACCCTAACCACCTCCAGCGTTCCTCTTGAACCTCTACCTCCGTTCTATCAGGTCTCCACCTCAATCCTCACCCCGGAGTGTGACAGAGGCCAGACGTATCATTCCACTACCCTCCAAGTTCCTGAGACTGTATTTAAGAACCCGTTCACTCCAGAACTACAAGAAAGTCCTGCGGATTTGGACAGTTTGTTGTACCCCTCATTGAACTTTGATGAATTGTTTATTACGTGATGTTGAAATATTTATGTGAATTTAAGACTACTTATACCATGGATATGTGCCTTATTGTAAGTACTGAGAGCCATAAATGCATATCAATTAGGATTAGTGAGAATGATAAACTATTTATAGATGCAATTGTATATTAATATTTCTCTATGCAGAACTTTCATATTTGAAGGTTTTGTGAAAACTCTTAAGGCATTAAATGTTGTGAAAACGTGTAAAGAAGGTAGTTCAATTGTTATAATGTACGATATAAGAGAAGAAAACCTCAACAAATCGAAGAATAGCAAATATTTTCAGAGACTCCAACACTTTGAACGTTATGCATTCCATATAAAATATGCAGAAACCAAACTCACTACACTAGTAATTTTTAAATATGAATTCTTAAACCATATCAAAAACAATAATAATGTCTATACAATACATTCCAGTTAGTAGTCTGAATACAAATACATTTTAATATGCATTTATCTGTGAAATTAATATGTTAATTGGTGGTATTCTTATGAAATTTAAGTTTTTTCGTATAATTATTTTAATTTTCGCAATGGCATATTGTTAGGACACATTACATACGTCAACAATCTAATTTAACAAAACGCTCAACACGAATCTAGTTAAAATAAGAATTATATAGACGATCCGAACATTGAAACACCGATAATCAAGCAACAATTAACACAAAATGCAATTTATTTGTTTAGGCTACTTCAAAATTCATTCCATGAGGGTCACACAGTTTAGACAATCATTTTGATTTCCATAGTTTAACTCACAAATTGTTTACTATTAAAATAACAATTAAGAATTAGATTGATTGAAAACCATTAGTTGCTAGCCCATTTTCATTGGTACATCTTCAAGTTAAAATTGGTGTAACGTAAAACTGTTATAGCTCTAAACACTAAATGGAAAACACCGCAGTATCACGCAATTACTACTCGATACAGGAGCGAGTAAAAATGTACTTAAATTTCATTCTAAATCTAAATAAGATAACAGATAGCATTAAAAATATTATTATGCCTATCTTACAGTTTTTGTAAGGAAGACAAAAAATATATTCATACATTTATTTATACAAAAACTATTTTCATAACATTTCCGATAAAAAAAAACCCCTATATGAGTGTACGTATCTAACGATGGTTGATTTGGAGATTTTTAGGTTGTATACATGTCCCTTTAAAGCTGCATCGGTTTTGGTGATGAAATTACACCAACTTTTAAAAATCTTGTAAATTTGGCCCAGCATTAAAATTAAACACTCCCTCAACCATTCTTATACTAAAAGATTGCCAAAATGTACAAAGAAGTTAAACAATATATCAACATTACTGATTTAAATTTTCTTTTTACAGTACATGTCTAACATAACTTATTAAAACTAATATAATATGAATTTTTGAACAAAAATATAAAACATCCATGAATAACTTATTTTGAGGTACCCTATTGTATTATATATTGTTGTACCTTGCCTTTATCTTTTATTTAAAACAATTAAATTACGTAGACTACGAAGGTATCATAACTTTTATTGCTGGACTACACAGTACTGCCAATAGTTTAACGTTATTCAGTTTGGGATTATGGATTCACTGTAATCGCATTTTTTGTGTATTTGAATCCTTACTATTCAGTTAATGTAGTTTACTATTCATTTAACGATGTTACTACTGATATTTATTGATTGACTTAAATCACTTAAAAGGAGAGATTTATTTCTATATGTACTAGTCATTATAATGTAACTAGCAGACGAGCAAGGGTTTAATTAAGTAACTAGACCTACCTAGCTTTAAGCTGTTAGATAAGAATGATTGTAAATACATAAGTGATATTCGTGATTTGTAAATAAACGTTATAATTAAGTGTAGTTTGGTATATTTAATACACCTGATTCCTTCAATTAACTCTTTGCTAAAGCTTGGATTCTTGTAACCAGTAACATTTCTGTAATCCTATGATTCACATACTGCTCGTCTTAATTTGCAATGGTAAGTTTATTTGAGATAGTGTCATATTTTGTTTTATATATATTATTTCAGGAATATTTTATTGTGAAATTGAAGAAATGCTATACCAATCATGTTACATTTTAAGTGATCTCACCTAAAGACGGAATAAGGTGTTGAATACATCTACAAAATGCAGTGTAAACATGCTGGGGATATCATTGTACAGATATTTTCAACCCAAAAAGTATGTGATTAGAAATATGCATACAAGATATCTTTAATCTTGTTTTAAAATATGATAATGTATAAGCAAGAAAGGTTCCGGGCCATTATACAGTACATAGATCGTTCTTATATATACTCGTACATTAACAAAATTACCCAATCAGTGACAATTGCATGGTAAAAGATTTTTAACCAATGAACTTCCGAAGGTTTCTTGAGGTAGTACGAAAGAATAAAAAGCATACATAACACAATTTAATTCTTATGTATTATATTCGATTTTTTTATTGAACATAATACAAGTGTAAAAATGATTGGTAAAAGGCAATAATTAAAACTGAAAAAACCCCAATGATGTGAATACGAACTTTCTTAACTTGGTTGCATGTTCTCTGAATAAAAAAAGTATGTAAAAACACGTACTGAAAACACATTTAATCATATCAAATAAAAACTGTGATTCTGGTTATCATGAACACAATTTAGGAAAATATTATGCCCTGTATACAAGAAGGTAACAAAATATGTTGAAAATGGCGTAACTTTATAAGCTTTCCAACCATAGGCAATTGTTAGAAAACTTTGGTTTAACGTTGTGATAGACATTTACCTAACAACATTAGATATTAATTTTATGTAAATGAGGATTTGAACAACAAATTATATACGCTTTAAATCTTAAATATACTCTTTAAGTTGTGGTAGCAGCTACATAACCTAAATTCTGATTGCAGCCATATAAATTGCGGGATGTATATCTATGTCGGTTAGCACGATAACTCTAGAAAAAAGTATCTGATTTCGATGAAATTTGGTATAAACGTGTAAACCTACATTTATTCGAACGAGTTCGCGAACCAGCTTGATCGGAGTATGGAAACGAGGGTTTATGGGGTAAAAGTTTTTTTTTCTAATTTTTGACCCCAAAAATAGAAATTTACAATTTCTTTTGAAATCATTTAACAGAGATTAAAAAAACAAATAATTTAGTATACTGAAGTTATATAATGTGCTACAGAGAAAATCATAAAAAATTGTAGTATTAAAATCCCTATGATATTATCATGAAGTTAAGTTCTCAAAGTAAACTAACTCATGTTGCAGTTTAGCCTGTGTGTGAAAATATTTGGATCGAATTTGTAAAATGCATTATTGTTTCACATTAAACTAGTACGTTAATTACACAAAATACATTGCATAAAAAAATTGTTTACCATCTCTATTGCAGCAACCCTAAGTACTTGTTAAACTAATGATATCTAAATAGGGAATACATGTGATATTTTTAAGGAGACATTTTACCTTAAATCCAATTTACGGCAAATGGAAATTCGCCCAGTCTGCAGGGTTGCTCCAAAGTGGGTTTTACATAATTAAACCAATTTTGCTGATCAGTTTACAAGGATTTGGATAAAATTAATAAATTACTTGTAATTAAATTGTGTAAACAAATCATTAATAATCACTTTCACTAATCGATAGATTTTATATCAAAAATACCAATCCCATGTTAATATATATACTTTTTTTTAAATTAAACTGTAATATGATTATTTACTCAAAGTCTACCAATAAACCCTAAACAACGAATATATAACTTGAGACATAATATACTCAAGATTATAAATCATTTTTAAGGAAAATTACATGTGCAATATATTCGTGATATATACATTTTGAATGTACGCTATTTTGATGAGTTACATTACATTCTTTACCTCAAAGGCTCTTTTTCAAATGGTTATTAAAAAATAAGTAAACCTTGTTTGAGCTTGTTCGTAGTAAATAATAATCTATCTATATATTAATAGGCAAGCATGTTTCTTTAAAACCTTTTTTCTCAGCTCGTGTGTATCGTAGGGAAAATCTACGCATACCGTTAGAAAGCTATTTTCCTGTAGGTGTGCAGAATCCCTTTATAAATTAAAATAGGCTCAAAAATAAGCACAAAAAATGAATTTTAAATTTTAAAAAATTAACATGGGTCATATGGGTTGCTATGGTGATGACGAAATAACAACAAAATATAAACAGAAAATCAAAACAAATGGAAGACATTCCAATCACATGTTTTATTTACAGTGTGGGGTGAAAATAGAGAAGTTTGCACAAAACATACTTTTGGTCGATTTTTCGACCACGGGGCGTGCTCTCGTAATTATTATAACATTAGCAAGTAAAATACTTTACTAATTTTCATCATAATCTTTCAATCCTGGAAGAAAACATTAAAAATTCATATTAATACCATCGGATTTTGAGGACATCATCTGCTTATGGTAAGTAAAAATGAGTACGTTAATTATACAAAATATATTTCAAAGTAGTTTAAGGTTTTCTCACGGCTATAGTTTGGGACAAAGAAGACAGGTGCCATAAGAAGGAAGTTAGTGGAAGTTTGGAAAAAATCATGTAATATAAAATAATACCTTGGACTCCGCACTACGATTAATTTAACTGAGGCATTTTGTTTTTAATTTGGATGCCTTAATATACGTTTTAAGGCTCCAGAAGTCATTCGCTGGTTGTCAGTTGGTAACTAATTAACAACGCGTTCTATCAACACGTTGAAGTCAGTTAGTAACAAGGTCCACGGTTTGGACCGTACCCTAATGATAGATTTGAAAAAAATCCAATTGCTTTAATTGACACATTTATAAGATAGTCAATGCAAAATTTACAGCTAAGATAGTATTGGTATTTTATCTTTATATTCACATTTATTGGAAATATTTTTAACGTATTGCGTTTTACATCGAACTAATGAACTATTGATATGTGTACTGTAGTTCCAATGCATAAGTATCATTGACTATAGTCAATGATAGGCATCATGCAAAGACTATTTAATGGGATGATTAGTGTTCTACTGTTTATAATAAACGATCATTTTAGTTCATTTACACGTCCAAATCCAATTATTATTGCTTTCATTGTTACCTAACACCAATTTTCATTTGATATTACATAAAATCAATGCTGCATGAGAATAAAACAATTGAATTAAAATATTATTTTAGTTGATTTGCATATGTTTAAAGGAAATTTTGAAAATTGGTGAGTAGTGGAAAATGACTATAATAACTAAAAATACTTTTCATTATTAATATTTTATAGCAATTACATACTATTCGGTTTAGCGTTAAATGTTTAGAGGATCATGAGTTGACTCCCTCCACTATAATTTTGGTTTGAAACTGTATAAGGGGATTGCTAACCTGTTTATTATTCTGCAGTCTTTTTTTAATTGTGGATATTTAAAAGTCTCTATACGTCAAATAAAATGTATGTTGTACGCGCTTTAAGCATTATCGTTCTTTACGTCTGTCCGATCCGATCTTCTATTAGTAGAACCTTTGACTAAACAAAAGAACTTTGAGAAATCGTCCTTTGAAACCTAAGAATGATTCCTACCCATATCTTAACCTAAAAAATATTTAGCAAACTGGGATTTTAATTTTGTTAAAGGGCGAAAGTGAGTGAATGAGAGGGTTTAACAGTTAAGCAAACTAGCTAATGAGTTAATGGGAAAATAATAATAATTATTTTTTGGCTTCCATGTAAACGCTAAAAAATATCAAGTTTACCTGTTCATTATTTAAATTGATCATATTGGAAAGTTAATATAGTGTAGTTCTAATTTTAAAGTACAAAAGGCCAATATTTAATATTGTATATTGTACACCAACATATTATATATTTGCCTTTTTGTGCTTTAAATTTAGAATTATATTACATTTATCTGTTCAGTTTAATTTGTTCACCAATTATTTTTACTCTTAGCTTCCTCAAAGATGTTTGAATGAAACCAGATAGGATCCATTGTAAACCTACCTTAAAGGACTAGTGTTTATTTCAGGTCCATACCTTGTTGCGAAGCACGAGTACATAGAAATACCAGAAATAAATAAAGTGCATATTTCAGTATCTTTTTTCATTAAACACTGCTTTTAATATACGAAGGTGACACACAAAACAGCTGTAAGTATATTAAAACAACACCTGAGAGTGGTGCGTGTAGTGTCCTCTTTGTGCAGGCGTGCTCAGGCTCACCACAACTCTGAAAATGGCTGGACAAACATGTGTCCGATCCTACATCATAATTTCAAGAACAATATGTTTATTTATTTAAGCTAAGATTTCCAAAGTGTGTGGCCTATTGATTGTTTTAAGCGGCATGACATAACATTAGTGGAAGGCAAATTGTTATGCACTTTCATATAAAAGATACATATTGTGAGGTGTCTAATTGTAATTTTCAACTTGTAAGGAAACTTATACTTACATATTCTTAACGTGAGGTAATTCAATTACTTTTACAACAAACGCTCTTATTTTTACCATCCCGTTTTTAAATCTTTCTGCTTTTGTTGAAAGTGCTACATTTATCATCATCTTTACTGAACCATGATCATTAAACCCAATGGCTTGTCCTCTTTTCTTAAAAACAGTAAGAAAAAAAGTAAAACTGTCCTAAAATACGAATTATTAAGTTGACAATGTTACATCAGCAAACTCTACACTACATGTTATATTTCTTTCACAATATTTAGGCGGTTTAGAGGTCCCCACCACTTTTTTGTACGTACTCGTATGTTGCTTGATCAGCTGTTCAGCTATTATTTGTAGTATTCGTGTTTCAAATGTAAAGGTCAAG